AATTTAGTCAATGGGAGAGCCGTTGCTAGTCACCTAGGAGAAAACTAGTTTTCAGAAATTAAATCATTTAATACGAATGTCTGTGGGAAACATCCAATCATGATTCTACATATAATCATTAAACAAGCAATTACTCTAAATCATAATCTGATCATATTCACTAATCATCTGAAGAGTATAAACCTTCACAAAAGAGGATTCTCATAAGTGCGTTTGAAGTCCCTTTTGCATGAACATGCTAAAATTTGGAGTTGATCGAGTTGAAAAAATTCAATGTTTTAAGGAATTTCAAATTGACATCGCTGAACAAAATATCTTTATTGCGTTTGCTCTCGTCTTCCATGAACCTCGATTAAAAAAAAACATTAAGTACATATATTTTATTCAATTAATATACAAAAAAGTAGATCAAGTGCAATGTTTTCTTTGAACACTTCTGAACGGATGAGAACAATGATACTGAATGTTTTCTTTTTTAACCAGGAAAGAACTTCTACGCAACCCGGTATTTCAGATTATTATAAAAAAAGAAATTAATATACAGCTTAGAAAGAATAACAAAAAAGCTTCTGAATTAATCATGTAATCTCTAAACAAAACTACATAGTTCATATTCACAACAATAATTTTTAACTGTACAGAACAAATAAGAAAAGAATAGCGGACCGTCGAAATTAGCTGTAGTTGTCAGGATCATAATTGGGAGAATATGGCGAAGAAGGGGTATACTGAAAAACTTCTTTCTTTTGCCTTAGATAGCTAGTTGCAAAAATTGAAATAACTTACATTCGGTGAACTGGGACTATATTGAGGAGAGCTGGGGCTGTACTGTGGCGAAGAAGGCGAATACTAGAATTAACAACGTTTTGTAATTTTCAAAAGCTCAAAGTTTTTTGAAAACTAACCACTGGCGACGCTGGATTTCCTGATGGAGTGTATTGAGGAGAACTTGGAGAATACTGAAATGAAGGCTTGGCAAAATTTTCTTTTCAGAGAAAGATAATGTACCTGCGGGCTGCTTGGAGTGTACACAGGAGATGTAGGACTGTACTGAGGAGACGAGGGGGAATATGAAGGTGACGCATCCGGTCTTGGGGAACTAGGAGAGTATTGCGGCGAGGAAGGAGAATACTATAATGAAAATGAAGTTATAGTGTATTGATGTAGCAAAGTATATTATTATTTATTATATATTCATGAGACGTGAAGTGAACAAACATAAATAATTACCTGTGGACTGCTCGGGCTGTACTGCGGTGATGTTGGACTGTACGTTGGACTTGTGGGAGAATATGTAGGGGATGTCGGTGAGTATCTGATAGGAAATGTAAGTTGACAAAAATAAAGAGAGAAAGAGCGGAAAAAAGTCACGAAAAGCCTTACCGAGGACTTGATGGACTGTATCCGCTGCCACCATAACTTGGACTTGTCGGACTGTATGTGGGTGATGTCGGCGAATAAGTTGGCGAAGTTGGTGAGTATCTAAAATTATCATATGTGATTACCACCCACACTGTAAATGATGTAGAGAATAGTACTTACGTCGGACTTGTTGGACTATACGTAGGAGAAGTTGGTGAATATCGCGGACTGCTCGGTGAATAGCCAGGACTAGTCGGAGAATACGACGGAGATGTTGGCGAATAACCTATATTAAGCTTCATACTTTAAAACTATAAACATAAGATGGGATAAAAAGCTAGCGAAAATGATAAATACTACTAAAGTTACAAAATGAAGCAACTTTATCGAGGAAAAAAGCAATCTTACTGGGACTAGTTGGACTGTAGCTTGGCGACGTAGGAGAGTAAGAGGGAGACG